ACCCGAAGATCACTGGAATAGATTAGAAGATGCAGAAACAACTCCAGACACACTTAGCCACCTCATCTTTGACAAAGGGGCCAACCGCCCTCATTGGAGGAAAGATAGCCTGTTCAATAAATGGTGTTGGAAAAATTGGATTTCAACCTGCCAAAGATTAAAACTAGACCCATACCTATCACCGTGTACTAAACTAAGATCGAAGTGGGTTAAAGACCTAAATATCAAGACAGAAACACTAAACTTGCTGGAAGACAAGTTAGGTATAACTCTCAATGACATTGGCATAGGAAAGGACTTTATGAACAAATCTTCAGTAGAACGGGAGCTAACACAAAGAATCAACAACTGGGATCTCATCTTATTAAAAAGCTTCTGCACTGCAAGAGAAACTACCAACCTACAATATGAGAAGGAATTTTTAGCAGCTGTACCTCAGACAAAGGTCTACTATCGAGAATATACAAAGAATTGAAAAAGTCAGACCCCCCAAATTCAAAGACCCAATTCAAAAATGGGCATCTGAAATGAACAGACATTTCTCAAAGAAGTAAAAACAGCAAATAAATATATGAAAAAATGTTCCACATCACTGGTCATTCAAGAGATGCAGATGAAAACAACACTGAGATTCCACCTCACCCCACAAAGAATGGCTGTTATCAAGAAATCAACAAATAACAAATGCTGGTGGAGGTGCGGAAAGAAAGGAACCCTTCTCCATTGTTGGTGGGACTCCAGACTGGTGCAACTACAGTGGAAATCAGTATGGAGATACCTCAATGAACTAGGACTAGAGTTCTCATTTGACCCAGCTATTCCCCTACTGGGTACCTTCTCCAAAGAATTAAAAGAATCACACCACAGGGATATATGTGCACCTATGTTTATAGCGGCACAGTTTGCAATAGCTAAGGATTGGAAACAGCCCAAGTGCCCATCAGCTGGAAACTGGATAAAGAAGATGTGGGGTTTTTTAATAAAACAGAGTACTACTCAGCCATAAAGAATGAGAAACTAGAGTCATTTATAGCTAAATGGATGCATATTGAAGCCAGACTCTTAAATGAAATAAATAGGACACACATGTGTAAATACCGAATAGTATCTCTAGTGAGAAACTGAAAGTGTGAATAAGGATGAAAAGGATTAAAATGAATAACTGATAATTTGAAATAGGAAAAGGTCCAAAGGGGTAGGGGTGGTGGAAGGGGAAAGGGAAGAAAGGAAAGGAAAAATTATGAGAAAGAAAAAAAAAATGGAAACAAAGTCTATGTAAATAGGGAAGGGTGCATAGATAATGGGGGAGAAAATAAGAACTAAAATACATCATGTTCCGGTACAAACACCCAATGATAAATGTAAATGTATTGTATACCTAAAATGTACCAATTAATATATATAAAAAAGAATTAGAAGTTCACACTTACA